ACTAACGGGAGCGGGACGCAGGGAGCACACAACGCCCTTGTTGTTCCAGCTCCACTGGCTGCCGATCTGCTACCGGGCCCAATTCAAGGTGCTGGTGTTATCCTACAAAGCCCTAAACGGTTCCGGCCCAAAATACCTTTCGGACCGCATCTCGGCCTATGAGCCCACGAGGGCCTTGAGATCATCCGGGGAGGCCCTTCTCTCGATCCCGCCCGCCTCACAGGCACGTCTGGCAGGGACGAGAGAGAGGGCCTTCTCAGTGGTGGCCCCCCGGCTGTGGAACACCCTCCCTGTTGACATCAGACAGGCGCCCTCCCTTATGGCTTTTCGTAAGAGCCTAAAGACCTGGCTATTCGAGAAGGCATTTAATTGAGAGCCACACGAATCTGGTAATGACATTGGAACGGACTATGGATTATGAGATTGGCTATGATTCTATGTTGTGATGGCGCGGATTTATTAGTGTGATTTAGATTAATGTGTAATTCGGTTGTTGTTATATTGTATGTTTTTGTAGACTGTTTTTACATGTTGTACACCGCCGCGAGTCGCCCCAGGGCTGAGAGCGGCGGTCAACAAATGAAGTAAATAAATAAATAAATAAATGAGGGTTATCCAGAATGTAAGGTTACAAGGTACATAGCTCTCACAGGGAATTTTCGCGGGGGAAGTTGGTACCACTGCCATGTAGTGGGAAGCCATCGGAAGCGAATGAGCAGTGCCAGTCGTCAGTAACTCATCGACTGGCATTGTGGTGAAGGTTAGAGATGAGCATCCTCATTCCGTTTCCCTCCAAGTGTGGCTTGCACGGTGTGAGGGTTATCCAGAACGTAAGGTTACAAGGCACGTAGCTCTCACAGGGAATTTTCGCAGGGAAAGTTGGTATCACTGCCATATAGCAGGAAGCCAGCAGAAGCGAATGAGCAGTGCCAGTTGTCAGTAGCTCATCGACTGGCATTGTGGTGAAGGTTAGAGACGAGCATCCTCATTCCGTTTCTCTCGCACGGTACGAGGGTTATCCGAGACTTAAGCTTAAAAGGCACGTAGCTTTCATGGGGAATTTTCGCAGGGGAAGTTGGTACCACTGCCATGTAGCAGGAAGCCATCAGAAGCAAACGAGCAGTGCCAGTCATCAGTAGCTCATCGACTGGCGTTGTGGTGAAGGTTAGAGATGAGCATCCTCATTCCGTTTCCCTCCAAGTGTGGTTTACATGGTACGAGGGTTATCTGGAATGTAAGGTTACAAGGCATGTAGCTCTCACGGGGAATTTTCCTGGGGGAAAGTTGGTATCACTGCTGTATAGAGGGAAGCCAGCAGAAGCAAATGAGCAGTGCCAGTCATCAGTAGCTCATTGACTGGCATTGTGGGGAAGATTAGAGATGAGCATCCTCATTCCTTTTCTCTCGCACGGTACGAGGGTTATCCAGGACTTAAGGTTACAAGGCACGTAGCTCTCACGGGGAATTTTCACAGGGGAAGTTGGTATCACTGCCATGTAGCAGGAAGCCAGCAGAAGTGAATGAGCAGTGCCAGTCATCAGTAGCTCATCGACTGGTGTTGTGGTGAAGGCTAGAGATGAGCCTTCATAACAGTAATTTTACTACTGTTATGAATTGTAATGTAAATATCGGATATACAGGATGTATTTTCATTTGCTGGACCAAATTTGGCACAAATACCCAATACACCCAAATTTGAATACTGGCGGGTTCGTTGAGTGGGGGATTAATTTGGAAGTTGTAGTTGCTGGGATTTATAGTTCACCTACAATCAAAGAGCATTCCGAACTCAACCAACAATGGAATTGAACCAAACTTGGCACATGGAACTCCCATGACCAACAGAAAATATTTGAATGGTTTGGTGGACATTGAGCTTGAATTTGGGAGTTGTAGTTCACCTATATCCAGAAAGCATTGCGGACTCAACAATAATGGATCTGGGCCAAACTTGGCACGAATACTCAATATTTCAAAATGTGAACACTGGTGGAGTTTGGGGAAAATAGAATTGAGATCTGGGAGTTGTAGTTTTAGGATTTATAGTTCACCTACAATCAAAGAGCATTTCGAACTCAACCAACAATGGAATTGAACCAAACATGGCACACAGAACTCCCATGACCAACAGGAAATACTGGAAGAGTTTGATGGACCTTTACCTTGAGTTTTGGAGTTGTGGTTCACCTACATCCAGAAAGCATCGTGGACTCAAACAATAATGGATCTGGACCAAACTTGGCATGAATACTCAATATTTCAAAATGTGAACACTGGTGGAGTTTGGGGAAAATAGAGTTGAGATCTGGGAGTTTAGTTTGGGGATTTATAGTTCACCTACAATCAAAGAGCATTCTGAACTCCAACAATGGAATTGAACCAAACTTGGCATACAGAACTCCCATGACCAACAGGAAATTCTGGAAGGGTTTGGTGGACCTTGACCTTCAGTTTTGGAGTTGTAGTTCACCTATATCCAGAAAGCATTGCGGACTCAACAATAATGGATCTGGGCCAAACTTGGCACGGATACTCAATATGTCCAAATGTGAATACTGGTGGAGTTTGGGGAAAATAGAGTTGAGGTTTTGGAGTTGTAGTTGTTGGGATTTATAGTTCAGCTACAACCAAAGAGCATTCTGAACCCCACCAATGATAGAATTGAGCCAAACTTCCTCCACAGAATCCCCATGCCTTGAATGGACTCGCTGGCACAAGCCTCCCTCCAGCCTCACACGCTCTCCCTTGCCCGCACATGCACACCTCACTGCCTTTCACTGAGCATACCTGCTCTACCATCCTACACAGAACCCCATGACCAAAATAAAATACTATGTTTTCTGATGATCTTTGGCGACCCCTTTGAAACCTCCTCATAACCCACCCACCCCAAGGGGTCCCAACCTCCAGGTTGAGAAACACTGCCTTAGTATATCTCAGTGTAGAAATGAAACACAGGGATGCTGTGGAGCAGTGATTTGTGAGACACTGGGCATGTTTAGCCTGCAGAAGAGAAGGCTGAGAGGAGACATGATAACCATGCATCAAGATGTGATGGGAAGTCCTAGGGAGGAGGGAGCAGGCTTGTTTTCTGCTGCCCTGGAGACTAGGACGCAATGGAGCAATGGCTTCAAACTACAAGAAAGGAGATTCCACCTGAACATGAGGAAGAACTTCCTGACTGTGAGAGCTGTTCAGCAGTGGAACTCTCTGCCCCGGAGTGTGGTGAAGGCTCCTTTTTTGAAGGCTTTTAAACAGATGCTGGATGGCCATCTGTTGGGGGTGCTTTGAATGCGATTTTCCTGCTTCTTGGCTGAATAGAGTTGGACTAGGTGGCCCACCAGGTCTCTTCCAACTCTACGATTTTGCTATGGCTGAAAACCTGGTGGCCAAGGAAACCAAAATGTAAGCAGGATCACATTGTTGGATGAGACTCCCAAAGGCCACTCAGTCCAACCCTATTCTGCCAAGAAGAAGGACCCAATCAAAACCCTCCCAACAGATGGCCACCCAACATCTGCTTTAAAACCTCCAGATTCCATTCCTGCAGTCAGGAAGATCTTCCTACTGTTGGGACCCTTTCCATTTTGTCAATTTCTTTTGCTTTACCCAGAACGGGAGACAGGGTTATTCCAGGTGACGTCTGATGGAAATAGAAGAGAGTGGGACTATGACTTCCCTTCTGTGGTGGAGGCAACTTCTTTGGAGGCTTTGAAACAGAGTCTGTCAGGAGTGCTTTGAATGTGATTTTCCTGTTCCTTGGCAGAATGGGGTTGGACTGGATGGCCCACCAGGTCTCTTCCAACTTTAGGATTGTATGATTCTACATGATGGGGTAGACCATCAAGGTCTGAAGACCATTGAGGTCTGGAGACCATCAAACCTTGGGTTTGTGCTGAAGACCATCAAACTTTGGGTTGGACTGGATGTTCCACCAGGTCTCTTCCAACTCTAGGATTCTATGATTCTACATGGTGGAGTATGGTGGAAGTGGGTGATATTATGAAGTTAAGACATACATAGGGCAAGAAGTGGCCATGTTTGAGCCAAGAGTCTCCCTGTAGATCTTCTCCTGGAGGGGGGTTGATGGTCTGGAGACTAACAAGGTCTGGAGGGAAGAAGTGGCCATGTTTGAGTCATGAGTCTCCCTTTAGACCTTCTCCTGGAGGAGGTTTGATGATCTGGAGACCATCAAGGTCTGGAGGCCATCAAGGTCTGGAGACCATCGAGGTCTGGAGACCATCGAGGTCTGGAGACCATCAAACCTTGTGTTGGAGTGTAGACCATCAAACCTTGGGTTTGTGCTGGAGACCAACAAACCTTGGGTTGCATTGGATGGCCCACCAGGTCTCTTCCAACTCTAGAATTCTATGATTCTACATGGTGAGGTATGTTGGAAGTGGGTGATGTTATGAAGTCAAGGCACACACAAGGCAAGGAGTAGCCATGTTTGAGCCAAGAGTCTCCCTGTAGGTCTTCTCCTGGAGGAGGTTTGATGATCTGGAGAAAATCAAGGTCTGGAGATCATCGAGGTCTGGAGACCATCAAGATCTGGAGGCCATCAGCTTGTGGAGACCATTAGGGTGTGGAGACCATTAGGGTTTGGAGGCCATAAGGGTCCGGAGACCATCGAGGTCCAGAGACCATCGAGGTCTGGAGACCATCAGAGTCTGGAGACCATCAAGGTCTGGAGACTATCAGGGTCTGGAGACCATCCAGGTCTGGAGACCATCAAACCTTGTGCAGATCTTCTCTCACTCCCTTATACTTCTTCCCTTTCTTTCCCTTTCTCTTTCTCTTCTCCTTGACACCTGAAAAAAAAAATGTGGCATTTCTCCGAGGAGATCTCCAGACATAAAAATGAGTCTGCTCCCCCTTCCTGGCCAAGCCTCCCCCTTCTCCTTGCCGGTTCCCCACTTGGTTAACACTTTGTTGTCTCCTTGTCTCCCTCCACCCCCCCCAACCCCCCCTCCCCCAACCCCTGCGCTCATGACGGACAGGTGACTATCTCTGTGGATGGCATCCTCACCACCACGGGCTACACCCAGGAGGACTACACCATGCTGGGCTCGGACGACTTCTTCTACATCGGGGGAAGCCCCAACACGGCCGACCTGCCCGGCTCCCCCGTCAGCAACAATTTCATGGGATGCCTCAAGGATGTGAGTCTTCGGAGGGTGGGCTTCTTGCAAGATGTGGGAGGGGGTCAACTGGGGAAAGAGGGACCCTCGGCCTCGTTTCTTGCACCCACTCCTCAGTCCATAATTAATCTCTGATTTCTTCTTTCTAATCTGATTCGAATTACTAGGTTTTTCAGGCTGTATGGCTATGTTCTAGAAGCATTCTCTCCTGACGTTTTGCCTGCATCTACGGCAGGCGTCCCCAGAGGTTGTGAGGTCTGTTGGAAACTAGGAAAATTGAATTTATATATCTGTGGAATATATATAAATCTCACTTGCCTAGACCTCACAACCTCTGCGATGCCTGCCATAGATGTGGGTGAAATGTCAGGAGAGAATGCTTCTGGAACTAGGCAAGTGAGGTTTTATATATCTGTGGAATGTCCAGGGTGGGAGGAAGAACTCTTGTCTGCTTGAAGCAAGTGTGAATGTTTCAATTGATCCCCTTGATTAGCATTGGATAGCCTTGCAGCTTCAAAGCCTATATATGTAGGATTCCCCCAGGCAGCAACCAGCCAGGTTTTGAAGCTGCAAGCTATTCAATGGTAATCAAGGTGGCCAATTGCAACATTCACACTTGCCTCGAACAAACAAGAATACTTTCTCCCAATCTGGACATCATTCCACAGATATATATGTAGGATTCCCCCAGGCAGCAGCCAGCCAGGCTTTGAAGCTGCAAGGCCATTCAATGTTAATCAGGGTGGTTAACTGCAACATTCCCACTTGCCTCCAACAGACAAGAAATCTTTCTCCCAACCTGGACATCATTCCACAGAGATATATATATATATGATTCCCCAAGGCAGCAACCAGCCAGGCTTTGAAGCTGCAAGGCCATTCAATGTTAATCAGGGTGGTCAATTGCAACATTCCCACTTGCCTCCAACAGACAAGAATTCTTTCTCCCAACCTGGACATCATTCCACAGATATATATGATTCCCCAAGGCAGCAACCAGCCAGGCTTTGAAGCTGCAAGGCCATTCAGTGTTAATCAGGGTGGTCAATTGCAACATTCCCACTTGCCTCCAACAGACAAGAATTCTTTCTCCCAACCTGGACATCATTCCACAGAGTTATATATATATATGATTCCCCAAGGCAGCAACCAGCCAGGCTTTGAAGCTGCAAGGCCATTCAATGTTAATCAGGGTGGTCACTTGCAACATTCCCACTTGCCTCCAACAGACAAGAATTATTTCTCCCAACCTGGACATCATTCCACAGATATATATGATTCCCCAAGGCAGTAATCAGCCAGGCTTTGAAGCTGCAAGGCCATTCAATGCTAATCAGGGTGGTCAATTGCAACATTCCCACTTGCCTCCAACAGACAAGAATTCTTTCTCCCAACCTGGACATCATTCCACAGATTATATATATATATGATTCCCCAAGGCAGCAACCAGCCAGGCTTTGAAGCTGCAAGGCCATTCAATGCTAATCAGGGTGGTCAATTGCAACATTCCCACTTGCCTCCAACAGACAAGAATTCTTTCTCCCAACCCGGACATCATTCCACAGATAGATAGATAGATAGATAGATAGATAGATAGATAGATAGATAGATAGATAGATATGATTCCCCAAGGCAGGAACCAGCCAGGCTTTGAAGCTGCAAGGCCATTCAGTGTTAATCAGGGTGGTCAATTGCAACATTCCCACTTGCCTCCAACAGACAAGAATTCTTTCTCCCAACCTGGACATCATTCCACAGATATATATATAATCTGTGTTAGTCAAGGTGGCCAGTTGCAACATTCCCACTTGCTTCCTGCAGACAAGAGATTTTTTTTCTCCCACTCTCCACAGATATACAAACCTTACTTTCCTAGTTTCCAACAGACCTCATAACCTCCGAGGATGCCTGCCATAGATGTGGGTGAAATGTCAGGAGAGAATGCTTCTGGAACAGGGCCAGACAGCCTGGAAAACTCACAGCAACCCATTAATGCCTTTGACAACACATTATTAGGAGTATAAGGTGTACAGGGAACACAAATTAATTTTGTATTTAGACTTGAGTCACGTTTCCAAGGTATCTCATTATATTCCTGATTTATCACTTCACCATCTGATTTTGCTCAGCCACACATGTCTCTGTTTCCTCCTGAACTGTTGTCACGCCTGAGGTTGCGTGTGTGCATGTCTTGTTTCGACCCGACTAGCCTGGTCTGTCTCTTGGCAGGTGGTCTATAAGAACAATGACTTCAAGCTGGAGCTCTCCCGCCTGGCCAAAGAAGGGGACCCCAAGATGAAAATCAACGGTGACCTGGTCTTCCGCTGCGAGAACGTCGCCGCCCTGGACCCCGTCACCTTTGAGTCCCCCGAAGCCTACATCTCCCTTCCCAAGTGGAACACCAAGAAGACGGGCTCCATCTCCTTCGATTTCCGTACGACGGAGCCCAACGGCCTGCTGCTCTTCAGCCACGGCCGGTTGCAGCCGCCCAAAGAAGGCCGGTCGGAGCGCCTCCACAAGGCAGACTACTTTGCCATGGAACTCCTGGATGGCTACCTTTACCTGCTGCTGGACATGGGCTCGGGCGGGATCAAAATGCGGGCCAGCAGCAAGAAGGTGAATGACGGCGAGTGGTGCCATGTGGACTTCCAGCGGGACGGGCGCAAAGGTGAGTGTCGGAAAATGCCTTTGTTGGCCAAGAAATGGATATTGATGAATATTCTGTCCATCTTCCTCTAGAGTAAGAAACAGAACTTGCCCCCTTGCCTTGGAAAGGGAGTGTGTGTGTGGCATGCAGGCCCAAAATGCATGTGCTCCTGCCTTCAGCTAAGTGCCTCCTCTAGAGTAAGAAACAGAACTTGCCTCCTTGCCTTGGAAAGGGAGTGTGTGTGTGGCATGCAGGCCCAAAATGCATGTGCTCCTGCCTTCAGCTAAGTGCCTCCTCTAGAGTAAGAAACAGAACTTGCCTCCTTGCCTTGGAAAGGGAGTGTGTGTGTGGCGTGCAGGCCCAGAAAATGCATGTGTCTGCCTGCAGCCGAGCGCCTCCTCTAGAGTAAGAAACAGAACTTGCCTCCCTGGCTTGGAAAGGGAGTGTGTGTGTGGCGCGCAGGCCCAAAATGCGTGTGCTCCTGCCTTCAGCTAAGTGCCTCCTCTAGAGTAAGAAATGGAACTTGCCTCCTTGCATATGCTCCTGCTTGCCCAAGCACCTCCTCTAGAGTAAGAAACTGAACTTGCCTCCTTACCTTGGAAAGGGATTGTGTGTGCGGCGTGCAGGCCCAGAAAATGTGTGTGCCTGCCTGCAGCCGAGCGCCTCCTCTAGAGTAAGAAACAGAACTTGCCTCCTTGCCTTGGAAAGGGAGTGTGTGCGTGGCATGCAGGCCCAGAAAGCATGTGCTCCTGAATGTAGCCGAGCGCCTCCTCTCGAGTAAGAAACAGAATTTGCCTCCTTGCCTTGGAAAGAGTATGTGTGCATGGTGTGCAGGCCCAAAATGCGTGCGCTCCTGCCTGCAACCGAGCACCTCCTCTAGAGTAAGAAACAGAACTTGCCTCCTTGCCTTGGAAAGAGTGTGTGCGTGGTGTGCAGGTCCAGAATGTGTGCGCTCCTGCCTGCAACCGATCGCTTCCTCTAGAGGAAGAAACTTGCCTCCTTGCCTTAGAAAGGGAGTGTGTGTGTGGCATGCAGGCCCAGAATGTGTGTGCTCCTGCCTGCAACCGAGCGCCTCCTCTAGAGTAAGAAACAGAACTTGCCTCAGAAAGAGAGTGTGTGCATGGTGTGCAGGCCCAGAAAGTATGAATGCTTGCCTGCAGCCGAGTGCCTCCTCTCGAGTAAGTAACAGAACTTGCCTCCTTGCCTTGGAAAGAGTGTATGTGTGGCGTGCAGGCCCAGGATGCGTGCGCTCCTGCCTGAAGCTGAATGCATGCTTGCCTGCAGCCAAGTGCCTCCTCTCGGGTTAGAAACAGAACTTGCATCCTTGCCTTGGAAAGGGAGTGTGTGTGCGGTGTGCAGGCCCAAAATGTGTGCGCTCCTGCCTTCAGCTAAGTGCCTCCTCTAGAGTAAGAAACAGAACTTGCCTCCTTGCCTTGGAAAGGGAGTGTGTGCGTGACGTGCAGGCCCAGAATGCATGTGCTCCGGCCTTCAGCCAAGCTCCTCCTCTAGAGTAAGAAACTGAACTTGCTTCCTTGCCTTTGAAAGGGAGTGTGTGTGTGGCGTGCAGGCCCAGAAAATGTGTGTGCCTGCCTGCAGCCGAGCGCCTCCTCTAGAGTAAGAAACAGAACTTGCCTCCTTGCCTTGGAAAGAGTGTGTGTGTGTGGCGTGCAGGCCTAGAATGCGTGCACTCCTGCCTGCAGCTGAGCGCCTCCTCTAGAGTAAGAAACAGAACTTGCCTCCTTGCCTTGGAAAGAAAGTGTGTGTGTCATGCAGGCCCAGAAAATGTGTGCTCTCCTGCCTGCAGCCAAGTGCCTCCTCTAGAGTAAGAAACAGAACTTGCCTCCTTGCCTTGGAAAGAGTGTGTGTGTGTGGTGTGTAGGCCCAGAATGCGTGTGCTCCTGCCTTCAGCTAAGTGCCTTGGAAAGAGTATGAGTGGTGTGCAGGCGAGAAAACATGCACGCATGCCTGCCGCTGAGAACCTCCTCCAGAGTAAGAAACAGAACTTGCTTCCTTGCCTTGGAAAGTGTGTGTGTGTGTGCCTTGGAAAGAGAGTGTGTGTATCATGCAGGCCCAGAAAGTGTGTTTGCCTGCCTGTATCCGAGTGCCTCCTCTAGAGTAAGAAAGTCAGAATGTGCCCCCTTGCCTTGGAAAGAGTGTGTGAGTGGCATGCGGGCCCAGAAATCATGTGTGCCTGCCGGCGGCTGAGTGCCTCCTCTAGAGTAAGAAAGTCAGAATGTGCTTCATTGCCTTGGAAAGAGTGAGCGTAGGACCGGAAAGTACGCATGCCTTCCTGCCGTTGAGTGCCTCTTCTAGAGTAAGAAAGTCAGAACTTTCCTCCTTGCCTTGGAAAGAGTATGTGTGGTGTGCAGGCGAGAAAACATGCACGCATGCCTGCCGCTGAGAACCTCCTCCAGAGTAAGAAACAGAACTTGCCTCCTTGCCTTGGAAAGAGAGTGTGTGCCTTGGAAAGAGAGTGTGTGTATCATGCAGGCCCAGAAAGTGTGTATGCCTGCCTGTAGCCGAGTGCCTCCTCTAGAGTAAGAAAGTCAGAATGTGCCCCCTTGCCTTGGAAAGTGTGAGTGTGTGTGTGACATGCAGGCCCAGAAAATGTGTGTGCCTGCCTGCACTCGAGCGCCTCCTCTAGAGTAAGAAACAGACTTTGTCTCCTTGCCTTGGAAAGTGTGTGTGAGTGGCATGCGGGCCCAGAAATCATGTGTGCCTGCCTGCAGCTGAGTGCCTCCTCTAGAGTAAGAAAGTCAGAATGTGCTTCATTGCCTTGGAAAGAGTGAGCGTAGGACCGGAAAGTATGCATGCCTTCCTGCAGTTGAGTGCCTCTTCCAGAGTAAGAAAGTCAGAACTTTCCTCCTTGCCTTGGAAAGAGTATGTGTGGTGTGCAGGCGAGAAAACATGCACGCATGCCTGCTGCTGAGAACCTCCTCCAGAGTAAACAGAACTTGCCTCCTTGCCTTGGAAAGAGAGTGTGTGCCTTGGAAAGAGAGTGTGTGTATCATGCAGGCCCAGAAAGTGTGTGTGCCTGCCTGTAGCCGAGTGCCTCCTCTAGAGTAAGAAAGTCAGAATGTGCCCCCTTGCCTTGGAAAGTGTGAGTGTGTGTGTGACATGCAGGCCCAGAAAATGTGTGTGCCTGCCTGCACTCGAGCGCCTCCTCTAGAGTAAGAAACAGACTTTGTCTCCTTGCCTTGGAAAGTTTGTGTGAGTGGCATACGGGCCCAGAAATCATGTGTGCCTGCCTGCAGCTGAGTGCCTCCTCTAGAGTAAGAAAGTCAGAATGTGCTTCATTGCCTTGGAAAGAGTGTGTATAGGACTGAAAAGTATGCATGCCTTCCTGCAGCTGAGTGCCTCCTCTAGAGTAAGAAAGTCAGAATGTGCCCCCTTGCCTTGGAAAGAGTGTGTGTGTGACATGCAGGCCCAGAAAAGCGTGTGCCTGCCTGCATTCGAGCGCCTACTCTAGAGTAAGAAACAGAACTTGCCTCCTTGCCTTGGAAAGTGTGTGTGAGTGGCATACGGGCCCAGAAAGCATGTGTGCCTGCCTGCAGCTGAGTGCCTCCTCTAGAGTAAGAAAGTCAGAATGTGCTTCATTGCCTTGGAAAGAGTGTGTGTAGGACTGGAAAGTATGCATGCCTTCCTGCAGCCGAGCACCTCCTCTAGAGTAAGAAAGTCAGAATGTGCTTCATTGCCTTGGAAAGAGTGTGCGTAGGACCGGAAAGTATGCATGCCTGCCTGCAGCTGAGTGCCTCCTCTAGAGTAAGAAAGTCAGAATGTGCTTCATTGCCTTGGAAAGAGTGTGTGTAGGACTGGAAAGTATGCATGCCTTCCTGCAGCCGAGCACCTCCTCTAGAGTAAGAAAGTCAGAATGTGCTTCATTGCCTTGGAAAGAGTGTGCGTAGGACCGGAAAGTATGCATGCCTTCCTGCAGCCGAGCGCCTCCTCTAGAGTAAGAAAGTCAGAATGTGCCTCATTGCCTTGGAAAGAGTGTGCGTAGGACCGGAAAGTATGCACGCCTTGGAAAGTGTGTATGGTGTACAGGTGAGAAAACACACATGCATGCCTGCCTCTGAGAATCTCCTGCAGAGTAAGAAACATAACTTGCCTCCTTGCCTTGGAAAGAGTGTGTGTGTACCATGCAGGCCCAGGAGAGAAAGTGCGTGCACCTGGCTGCAGCTGAGCACCTCTCTTCTAGAGTAAAACAGCTTAAATGCCTAAAATGACAGGAAGGGAAGTCCCCCCCCCATTATGGACCAATAAAAAGCAGATCTTTTGGCACCCCAGAGTGAAAACAGTTATTTACTACACACTCTCTTTCCAAGTCAAGGAGGCTCTAGAGAAGGTGCTTGGCTGCAAGGAGGCACACATGCTTTCTGGGCCTGCATACAGGGGCGGCTGAAGCAATAGGCAAAGTACGCATTTGCATACAGCGCAAATCCCTTAGGGCGTTCTTGAGGTGTCTCCGCGCACACACTTCCACCTTCTATGCTTGAAAAACTGATATCCTTCTTAATGCTAAATGGTGGTGGTTAGTATTATTATTATTATTATTATCATCATCATGATTGCCATCATTGATATCGAGCTGCTTTTAGGAGGGTCTCCCCAGCCGAGGAGATCCCCGAGGACCGCACCAAAGAGAGTCCTGGAACCTTGGTGAGGCCAGAGAAGCCAATTTCAGCGATAAAAATATTAAAAATAATAAATCCTCATCAAAGTGGAAGAAGTTTCAGCGACCGAGGTGTTTTATTAGCGATTCAGCTGCAATCGGATGCATTGTAGGAATAGTTCCACCACAAGCATGTAGGAGCACAGTGATGCAGGCATATTTATTAGGGCTGGGCAACCACGGAAAAATTTGTTTCTAAACTCGATTCGTTTTTAGGGGGTTTTTGCATTTTGATTTTTAAAAGAATTCCGAAATTTTCCTTTAAAAAATTTCGATATTTATTGTCCTTTGAGGGGTTTTGGTGAGGGAAACAAACAGGATCAGGGCAGCGGACCTCGGGGGGAATCAACACTGCCCTTTGTAAATCAATCATTATGTCCGTATTCCAAATAGACTTCCTCATCTCACTGGACCAACTCCGAGGGCGAGACAAAGGAAACCATAAATGGCTATTGTTCCATGCAGAGGTGAAATAATCAAATAAGAAAGGGAGGTGGTGGTTCTCCCTCAAGCATTTCAACAGCCCTGGGTCACATTTTCTAGGGCAAAAGGCAAAGGGGAAAGGCAATATTTCATAGCAAGATACATACATTCATAATCATAAGCATTTCATAGCAACAAAACCCCATCTTTGTCCCACATCCCAAGTATATTTAATAAGAGGATTAATTTTCATGAAGAAGCCTGAAGTCCAATGTTTTAAAAGGTCTTTGAGGAAAGTTCATGAGGGAGATAGTATGTACCGAAGTCCAAGACATGCAGGCAGAGTCCATGATCATTGGGAAGGCTGGCAAATGAAACCCCAGCTGTGCTGCAACTGATTCACACTTTGGCAGCTTGGGAGTGATCCTGGACTCATAGCTGAGCCTGGAACCCCAGGTCTCAGCGGTGGCTGGGAGAGCTTTTGCGGAATTAAAACTTGTGCACCAGTTGCGCCCGTACCTCAGGAAGTCTGATCTGGCCACGGTGGTCCACGCTCTTGTTACATCCCGAATAGACTACTGCAACGCTCTCTACATGGGGTTGCCCTTGAAGACTGTTCGGAAACTTCAACTAGTCCAGCGAGCGGCAGCCAGATTGCTCACCGGAGTGACATACAGGGAGCATACCACCCCCCTGCTGTGCCAGCTCCACTGGCTGCCGATTCAGTTCCGAGCACAATTCAAGGTGCTGGTTTTGACCTACAAAACCCTGTATGGTTCCGGTCCAGTGTATCTGTCCGAACGTATCTCCCTCTACGTCCCACCCCGGAGTCTGAGATCATCTGGGGAGGCCCTGCTCTCGACCCCACCACTGTCACAAGTGAGGCTGGTGGGGACGAGGAGCAGGGCTTTCTCAGTGGTGGCCCCCCACCTGTGGAACTCACTCCCGAGGGAAATCAGGGCATCATCATCCCTCCTCGCCTTCAGGAGGAGGGTAAAACGTGGTTATGGGACCAGGCCTTTGGGCACTCTGGCAATTAAATCAGACAATCAGGCGAGTAAGACCAGCAGGATGAATGAAGTGGAACGTAAAACTAGATCTATGAGTTAGCGAACGCTGACCATGTAAGAGGAGAAATTGGGTTTGTATTGGTTTTATTGATTTTATTGATTTTATGGTTATAATGCATGAATTGTTGTCAACTGTGAATTGATGTAATTTTGTGTATGATTGTTTTATGATACAGGCATCAAATTGTGCCTTTGTTTCTGTACGCCGCCCTGAGTCCCCTTCGGGGTGAGAAGGGCGGGGTAAAAGAACCCCAAATAAATAAATAAATAAATTGGTCCTTGGGAAACTACAACTCTCACAAAGGGCAGAAGTCCCAAGATCCAGCCATTTCCCAACAGCCTCGTAGTGTCCTTGTTGTTGTCAGTGCCTTGGCAATGTGACCAAGACTTAACCCTTGTCGTGTAGTCTGGTGCCCTTGCCCTTTGCAGAACTATAAGTCACTATCCCTTATTTTGGGGGGGGAGGGGTGCTCGACATCATCATCATCATCATCCTTTTTTCATTTAGTGCCATCAGTATATATGGTGCTCCAAGCCAACATAGCCAATGCTAATTTACGCCATTTACGTCATTAACTTGGCTCTTCCCCCGTTTAGGTTCCATCTCAGTGAACAGCCGTAGCACCCCCTTCCTGGCCAGTGGCGAGAGTGAGATCTTGGACCTGGACAGTGAGATGTACCTGGGGGGTCTTCCCGAGAACCGCCTGGATCTCATCTTGCCCCCGGAAGTGTGGACGGCCTTCCTGAACTACGGCTACGTGGGCTGCGTGCGGGACCTCTTCATCGACGGCAAGAGCCGGGACGTGCGCCGCTTGGCCGAGGTGCAGAGCGTGACCGGCGTCTCCAGCTTCTGCTCCCGGGAGACCCTCAAGCAGTGCAGCAGCTCCCCTTGCCGCAACGGGGGGCTCTGCCGGGAAGGCTGGAACCGCTTCATCTGCGACTGTGTGGGCACTGGCTACTTGGGCCGGCTATGTGAGAGAGGTGAGAGGGTTCTACATCAATGGTTCTCAACATCTCTAATGTCAGGTTGTGGTGACCCCCAACCAGAACATTATTTTCGTTGCTACTGTTATGAACGTCACCAATGATGAAATTGAACCAAACTTCACATACAGAACTCCCATGACCAAAAGAAAATATTGGAAGGGTTTGGTTGGCACTGAGTTTAAGAGTTGTAGTTCACCTACATCCAGAGAGCACTGTGGACTCAAACAATGATAGATCTAGATAGATCTGGACCAAATGTGGCACAAATACTCAATATGGTGCCAAACGTGGCACAAATACTCAATATGGTGTAGGAACTCTGACTGGTGGAGTTTGGGGAAAATAGAGCTTGACATTTGGGAGTTGTAGTTGCTGGGATATATAGTTCGCCTATACTCAAAGAGCATTCTGAACTCCACCAATGATGGAATTGAGCCAAACATGGCATACAGAACTCCCATGACTAAAAGAAAATATTGGAAGGGTTTGGTGGGCATTGAGTTTAAGAGTTGTAGTTCACCTACATCCAGAGAGCACTGTGGACTCAAACAATGATAGATCTAGATCAGTGGTTCTCAACCTGGGGTCCCCAGATGTTTTTGGCCTACAACTCCCAGAAATCCCAGGCAGTTTAACAACTGTTAGGAATTCTGGGAGTTGAAGGCCAAAAACATCTGGGGACCCCAGGTTGAGAACCACTGATCTAGATAGATCTGGACCAAACTTGGCACAAATACTCAATATGCCCAAATGTGAACACTGGTGGAGTTTAGGGAAAATAGACCTTGACATTTGGGAGTTGTAGATGGTGGGATTTATAGTTCACCTACAATCAAAGAGCATTCTGAACCCCACCAATGATGGAATTGAACCAAACTTGGCATACAGAACTCCCACACCCAACAGAAAATATTGGAAGGGTTTGGTGGGCATTGAGTTTAAGAGTTGTAGTTCACCTGCATCCAGGGAACACTATGGACACAAACAATGATAGATCTGGACCAGACTTGGCATGGATACTCAATATGCCCAAATGTGAACACTGGTGGAGTTTAGGGAAAATAGACCTTGGCATTTGGGAGTTGTCATTGCTGGGATTTATAGTTCACCTATACTCAAAGAGCATTCTGAACTCCACCAATGATGGAATTGAGCCAAACTTGGCATACAGAACTCCCACGACCAACAGAAAATATTGGAAGGGTTTGGTAGGCATTGAGTTTAGGAGTTGTAGTTCACCTACAATTAAAGAGCATTCTGAACCCCACCAATGATAGAATTGGGCTAAACTTCCTCCACAGAACCCCCATACCTTGAAGGTACTTGCAGAGGCTCACACGCTCTCTGTCGTCTGCGTATGCGCGCTACACTGCCATGCGCTGAGCATGCCTGCTCTCCCCTCCTCTCGTCACTTATCCACAGATTTTTTGTGAATTTTCAAAATGTTATGGAGGGACAGACCGCTCTCTCCGCTATCCTGATTGGTGCTTTCTGATGCTGATGCAGCCTGGGAAATGTAGTTTAGGGCAAGGCTTTGTGAATTCTCTGGCATGGGGCTCCTCCTCCCTTCCCAAACTACATTTCCCCAAGTTCTGTGCTGTTCCCAAAGTGCGCTGCTCCCTCTTTTGCCCGATGCTAATGCGAGATTGTATTAATTTACAGAGGAAAGGCAAGGCACTAAGGCAGATTTTGGCTTTGCTTCCTTGCCTTGCATTGAATATGAAACTGACTTTGGGAGCTTTTTGAGATTTCCAAAACTAAAACGAAAAAGTATGGGGTCAGTTTTGATTCTAAAATATTTGTTGTGGGCCAAGCAAATGCTTCGGATGTGGCTTACAACTTACAAAACTTCCGATTTTCTTCCGACTTACAAAACTTCCGATTTTCTTCCGACTTACAAAACTTCCGATTTTCTTCCGACTTACAAAACTTCTGATTTCCTTCCGACTTACAAAACCGATTTTCTTCCGACTTACAAAACTTCCGATTTTCTTCCGACTTACAAAACTTCCGATTTTCTTCCGACTTACAACACTTCCGATTTTCTTCTGACTTACAACACTTCCGATTTTCTTCCGACTTACAACACTTCCGATTTTCTTCTGACTTACAACACTTCCGATTTTCTTCCGACTTACAACACTTCCGATTTTCTTCCGACTTACAACACTTCCGATTTTGTTCCGATTTCCGAAACTTTCAATTTTTTTTGCTCATGTCTAGTGGGAAGTATTCTGGGTCACGTTGGGGACTTACAAAGGCCTAAACACCGTTGCCCTTTCTGCCCTGGAGATAGGTGGAGTGGAGATTTTTGAAGCAGGGACTGAATGGCTGTCAGGAGGGCTTTGATGGTGTCTTTCTTCCTGCATGGCAAGGGGTTGGACTAGATGGCCATTGGAATTTTTTCCGACTCCATGAATATATGGTGTGGGCCATGCAAACACTTCAGATGTGGCTTTCGAATTACAAAACTTCCGATTTTCTTCCAATTTCCGAAACTTCCAATTTTTTTATTTTTTTTGCTCATGTCTAGTGGGAAGTATTCTGGGTCACATTGGGGACTTATGGGGACCTAAATACCGTGGCCCTTTCTGCCTTGGAGATAGGTGGAGTAGAGCCATCCAGTCTTGGAGATAGGTGGAGTAGAGCCATCCAGTCCCATCCAGGGACTGGATGGCTGTCTGTCAGGAGGGCTTTGATGGTGTCTTTCTTCCTGCATGGCAAGGGGTTGGACTGGATCGCCCTTGGGATTTTTTCCGAATCTATGATTGTATGGTGTGAGCCATGCAAATGCTTCAGATGTGGCTTCCGAATTACAAAACTTCTGATTTTCTTACGATTTCCGAAGCTTCCAATTTTTTTGTACATGCCTATCCGGAAGTCCCCAGAGTAGGAGGAAATACTTGTTTAGATGTAAGAACTCTACTTGTTTAGGTGTAGGGACTCTGACTCTACGATTATATGTTGTGGGCCACGCAAACACTTCAGATGTGGGTTGTTGTAGGTTTTTCGGGCTATATGGCCATGTTCTAGAGGCATTCTCTCCTGACATTTCGCCTGCATCTATGGCAAGCATCCTCAGAGGTACAGAGGTAGTAGAGGTAGACCATGGCCATATAGCCCGAAAAACCTACAACAACCCAGTGATTCCGGCCATGAAAGCCTTCGACACTTCAGATGTGGCTTTCGAATTACAAAACTTCTGATTTTCTTACGATTTCCGAAGCTTCCGATTTTTTTGCACATGCCTATCCGGAAGTCCCCAGAGTAGGAGAAAATATTTGTTTAGATGTAAGAACTCTACTTGTTTAGGTGTAGGAACTCTGACTCTATGATTGTATGGTGTGGGCCACGCAAACACTTCAGATGTGGCTTCCAAATGACAAAACTTCCGATTTTCTTACGATTTCCGAAGCTTCCGATTTTTTTGCACATGCTTATCTAGAAGTCCCCAGGGTAGGAAAAAAACACTTGTTTAGATGTAAGAACTCTACTTGTTTAGGTGTAGGAACCCTGACTCTATGATTGTATGGTGTGGTCCACGCAAACACTTCAGATGAAGCTTCCAAATGACAAAACTTCAGATTTTCTTACGATTTCCGAAGCTTCCGATTTTTTTGCACATGCCTATCCGGAAGTCCCCAGAGTAGGAAGAAATACTTGTTTAGATGTAAGAACTCTTATTTGTTTAGGTGTAGGAACTCTGACTCTATGATTGTATAGTGTGGGCCACGCAAACATTTCAGATGTGGCTTCCAAATTACAAAACTTCTGATTTTCTTATGATTGCCGAAACTTCCAATTTTCTTACGATTTCCAAAGCTTCGGATTTTTTTGCACATGCCTATCTGGAAGTCCCCAGAGTAGGAGAAAATACTTATTTAGATGTAAGAACTCTGCTTGTTTAGGTGTAGGAACTCTGACTCTATGATTGTATGGTGTGGGCCACGCAAACACTTCAGATGTGGCTTCCAAATTACAAAACTTCCGATTTCCTTACGATTTCCGAAGCTTCCGATTTTTTTGCACATGCCTATCTGGAAGTCCCCAGGGTAGGAGGAAATACTTGTTTAGATGTCAGGACAGTTTTACAAGGCAACCCCCCTAAAATGACATTTTTCCTCTTTTTCCTCCCACCATCCCACCCTGTCACTTGGGCAGAGGCCACGGTACTGAGCTACGATGGGAGCATGTACATGAAGATAATGCTCCCCACGGTCATGCACACCGAAGCTGAAGACGTGTCCCTCCGCTTCATGTCTCAGCGGGCGTATGGATTCATGATGGCCACCACCTCCAAGGAGTCGGCCGACACTCTCCGCCTAGAGCTGGACGGGGGCCAAATGAAGCTCACGGTCAACCTAGGTAACCAACTGGCCAGTGCCTTGACTTCCTCTTCCTCTTCCTCCCCATGGACCCAATTGGCATAGTCATCTCTTAATCTGATGTAGTGAAGGGAGGCTGAACCCATCAATGTTTTGCGAGTGCAAGATTCCATGTGAAGGAGCCTCCTCAAACTTGGCACAACATAGACATGTTAGACCTCAACTCTTACCACTCGTGGTGGGATTTGGTGTCTGATACAACTGGAAAGTGCTGGGTTTGACTGGGTCATGTTGAATTTTCTATGGCAATGGTTCTCAATCTGTGGGTCCCTAGGGCAAGGTTCCATGTGAAGGAGCCTCCTCAAACTTGGCACAATATAGACATGTTAGACCTCAACTCTTACCACTCGTGGTGGGATTTGGTGTCTGATACAACTGGAAAGTGCTGGGTTTGACTGGGTCGTATTGAATTGTCTATGGCAGTGGTGCTCAACCTGTGGATCCCCAGATGTTTTGGCCTTCAACTCCCAAAAGGCTGATATTTCTGGGAGTTGAAGGCCAAAATACTTGAGGACCCACAGCTTGAGAACCATTGCTCTATGGGTTTTAGCCCAACGTTGTGCATGGAAGTAGTTGGGGTGGCGGAATGAGATGATACATGGAAATGAGTCCCAAAAAAGACTGCCTGGTCTTCTGTACCATTACTGAAGCGGAGGTGGAGAGAGCAAGTTGGTGGCATTACATGAGGTTGGTCCCGTCGTCCTTTTCCTTGATAGCAGGACCTGACTTCCTTGTCACCACTTGCTGGTTAGAGGAAGTGGGGGAAATGGGTCGTTCTCCATCTCTTCCTCTTCCCATGCCTCCTCAGTAACTTCAGGCTTGGCAGTTCCTTTTTCGTTTTGGAAAGCTACACCAGAATCCCAAACAATTTGACCCATTCGATATTTTCCGATTTTCTTCCGATTTCCAAAACTTCCGAGTTGGTGATCAACTCTTTCCAAAGATCCCCAATATGGTTATTTCCCCATTCAATATTGTTTTCCGATTTTCTTCCGATTTCCAAAGCTCCCGAGTTGGTGATCAACTCTTTCCAAAGATCCCCAATATGGTTCTTTTCCCATTCGATATTGTTTTCCGATTTTTTTCCGATTTCCGAAGCTTCCGAGTTGGTGAGCAACTCTTTCCAAAGATCCCCAATATGGTTTTACACAAAACTGAAATTTAAGATAATTCTGATTAAAGCATTATTCTAACCTTCTTCAATGTAAATGTGCTTACGTATCCTTCCAATAATAATAAAGACAGTAAAAGAATAAATGTAATAATAAATAGAGTAAAAGAATAAATGTAATAATAATAAAAATAGAGTAAAATAATAAATGGAATAATAATACAAATGGAATAAAATAATAAATGTAATAACTAATAAATATAGTAAAATAATAAATTATTATTAATAATAGAGTAAAATAATAAACTAATAATAAAAAATAGAATAAGATGACAAATGTAACAAGTAATAAAGTAATAATAAATAGAGTGAAATAATAAATGGAATAATAATAAAAAATAGAGTAAAAGAATAAATGTAATAACAATAATAAATATAGTAAAATAATAAATTATTATTAATAATAGAGTAAAATAATAAACTAATAATAATAAAATAGAAGAAGATGACAAATGTAATAATAAGTAATAAAATAACAATAAATAGAGTAAAGGAATAAATGTAATAATAAAAATAGAGTAAAATAATAAATGTAATAATAATACAAATGGAATAAAAGAATAAATGTAATAACAATAATAAATATAGTAAAGTAATAAATTATTATTAATAATAGAGTAAAAGAATAAACTAATAATAATCAAAATAGAGTAAGATGATAAATGTAATAATAATACGTAATATAAAATAATAAAATAATAAACAGAGTAAAAGAATAAATGTAATAATAATTAAAATAGAGTAAAATAAATGTAATAATAAAGAGTAAAATAATAAATGTAATAACAATAATAAATATAGTAAAGTAATAAATTATTATTAATAATAGATTAAAATAATAAACTAATAATAATAAAAAATAGTATAAGACGACAAAGGTAATAATAAGTAAATGATAAATGTAATAATAATAAGTAATTAAAATAATAAAATAATAATAGAGTAAAATAATAAATGTAATAATAATAAATAAAGTAAAATAATAAATGTAATAATAATAAATAAAGTAAAATAATAAATTATTATTAATAACAGATTAAAATAATAAACTAAAAATAATAAAAATAGTATAAGACGACAAAGGTAATAATAAGTAAATGATAAATGTAATAATAATAAGTAATTAAAATAATAAAATAATAATAAATAGAGTAAAATAATAAATGTAATAATAATAAATAAAGTAAAATAATAAAATAATAATAATAGAATAAAATAATAATACATGTAATAATAACAGCAGGAATAGAATAAATTCATAAATATAATAAACATAATAATAAATAGTTTTAAGTAATAAATATAGTAATAATAATTAGAGTAAAAGAATAAAAGAGTTGGTGAGCAACTCTTTCCAAAGATCCTCAATGTGGTTCTTTTCCCATTCGATATTGTTTTCCGATTTTCTTCCGATTTCCAAAGCTTCCGAGTTGGTGAGCAACTCTTTCCAAAGATCCCCAATATGGTTCTTTTCTCCCTTTCCCCATCACCTTGGTTTTTGACCCTTCACTGGGACATATATGGCCAGCCCAACGCAAACAGCCGCAGTGACCGAGGACTCTGTCCCATGTGCCCGACCCCATAACATGACCTCCTTCCCATTGCCTTCCATGGGAGGGTCCTTTGGGTCCTACGGCTGTTTGCATCCACTCTTCTGTAGCGGTTGACGGCGCACGCAGAGGCCAGTTGTGCAGCTCCTGGGAAGGGGGTCCCCATTCCCATCCATCGCAAGAGACCCCCCAATACTGCAGAGACTTGAGCGCTTCAGTCCAACCAAGGCTTGGAGAATATTCAGAGGGATTTTACCACATTTCCCAGAATCCTTCTCCAGAGTTTCGCTGGGAAGAGGAAATTCTGAGGATTGTGGTAGAAAAAGTTACCGTATATACCCGAGTATAAGCCGACTCGAATATAAGCCAAGACACCTAATTTTACTACCAAAAAACTTGGAAAATGTATTGACACGAGTTTAAGCCAAAGTGGGAAATGCAGCCTCAACTGGTCAGTTTTGAAATAAAAATAGATACCAATAAAATGATATTAATTAAGGCATCGGTAGGTTAAATGTTTTTGAATATTTACACAAAACTATAATTTAAGATAAGTTTGCCCAACTCTGATTCAAGCATTATTCTAACCTTCTTCAATGTAAATGTGCTTATGTATCCTTCCAATAATAATAAAGACAGTAAAATAATAAATTTAATAATAATAATTTAATAATAATAATAAAGACAGTAAAATAATAGATGTAATAATAAAAACAGAGTAAGATGATAAATGTAATAATAATAAAAATAGAGTAAAATAATAAATTATTATTAATAATAGAGTAAAATAATAAATTAATAATAATAAAAACAGAGTAAGATGATAAATGTAATAATAAGTAATAAAATAATAATAGAGTAAAAGAATAAATGTAATAATAAAAACAGAGTAAAAGAATAAATGTAATAATAATAAAATGGAATAAAAGAATAATGGTAATAACAATAATATAGTAAAATGATAAACTAATAATAAAAAATAGAATAAGATGACAAATGTAATAATAAGTAATAAAATAACAATAAACAGAGTAAAAGAATAAATGTAATAATAAAAATAGAGTAAAAGAATAAATGTAATAACAATAATAAATATAGTAAAATAATAAATTATTATTAATAATAGAGTAAAAGAATAAACTAATAATAATAAAAATAGAGTAAGATGATAAATGTAATAATAAGTACTAAAATAATAATAATAATAATAATAATAATAATAATAATAATAATAATCCTTTATTAATACCCCGCTAACATCTTCCGAAGGACTCGGTGCGGCTTACAAGATTGATAATAATATTATCAATAATAATATTATTTGATTAATAATAATAAATTGATAATAATAAATAGAGTAAAATAATAAATGTAATAATAATAAAAATAGGGTAAAATAATAAATTACGATTAATAATAGAGCAAAAGAATAAATTAATAATAATAAAATAGAGTAAGATGATAAATATAATGATAAGTAACATAAAATAATAAAATAATAAAAATCGAGTAAAATAATAAATGTAAAAATAATAAAAATGGAATAAAATAATAAATGTAATAACAATAATAAATAGAGTAAAATAATAAATTATTATTAATAATAGAGTAAAAGAATAAACTAATAATAATAAAAATAGTATAAGATGACAAAAGTAATAATAAGTAATAAAATAATAATAAATAGAGTAAAAGAATAAATGTAATAATAAAAATAGAGTAAAAGAATAAATGTAATAATAATAAAAATGGAATAAAATAATAAATGTAATAATAATAAATAAAGTAAAATGAAATAAGAAAATAGAATAAAATAATATATTTAACAACAACAGCAGTAATAAAGTAAATTAGTAAATATAATAAATATAATAATAAATAGTTTTAAATAATAAATGTAGTAATAATAATTAGAGTAAAAGAATAAATGTAATAATAATAAATAAAGTAAAATAATAAATTAATAATAATAAATAGAGTAAAATGATAAATGTAACAATAATAATGATAACAACAACAACAACAACAGAGTAAAATAATAAATAACTTTGACTCAAGTATAAGCCGAGGGGGGCTTTTTCAGCCTTTAGAAAGGGCTGAAAAACTCGACTTACACTCAAGTATATACGGTACTTACTTCCAGGGACTCTGCTCTCATCGGCCTGAACTCACAAGCTTCTTTCTCATGTGATTGAAGGGTTCTTTGTGTGATTACCAGAGAGTTGGTCACTGCCTTCTAGTCCTGAGCATCAGGTTTGCCATGCCTCCTGCCCTTGGGCATTTGGGGGCAACTTTGGAGGCAAATCTAGTGCCAGGACAGAAGTCAACAATACGGTCCCTCTCTCTGATAACCATGAAAAGGAGTCGGCGTTGGATAAGCTTTCCCCGAAGTCTCTAGCAGTTCCAAGGGTCATATTTCCTGAGGGAGTCGGGGGACAAGACATGTTGGGGTGTCTATTTGGGGGGTGAGAGAAGGGGAGGGAGGGTTTTCACCCTGTTTGGGTCTGCCAGTCAAGGGTTAGCCCTTCTCCTCGCCTTCCATGTTTACAACTTCAGGATGGGGAGGAAGAAATGGCTGCCCTCCTTCCCCTTCCCCGTTCTGCACAGCTGGCCTTCACAAGGTAGCCACTTGCCACACTGAGGTAGCCCAACAGTAAGGAAAAGAGACTAAGGAAGGTTTGGGGAATAAGACTCTTTCCTTCTCCCAAATACGGCATTGAATAAGAAAACAATCCTTTTATTGGAGATAATTTAAAAACAGCAAAGTAAAAAAGCACTTTAAAGAAATAGGTAAACCCAATTAGGTAAGAAGATAAGCAGGAACAAAATAGTCCAGGGAAAAAGTTCAGCAAAAAGAGACTAAGGAAGGTTTGGGGAATAAGACTCTTTCCTTCTCCCAAATACAGCATTGAATAAGAAAACAATCCTCTTATTGGAGATAATTTTAAAAAAAAACAGCAAAGTAAAAAAGCACTTTAAAGAAATAGGTAAACCCAATTAGGTAAGAAGATAAGCAGGAACAAAATAGTCCAGGGAAAAGGTTTGGCAAAAAGTTCAGGAAAAGAGACTAAGGAAGGTTTGGGGAATAAGACTCTTTCCTTCTCCTAAATACGGCATTGAATAGGAAAACAATCCTTTTATTGGAGATAATTTTAAAAAAACAGCAAAGTAAAAAAGCACTTTAAAGAAATGGGTAAATCCAATTTGGTAAGAAGATAAGCAGGAACAAAATAGTCCAAGGAAAAGGTTCAGCAAAAAGTTGAGAAAAAGAGACTAAGGAAGGTTTGGGGAATAAGACTCTTTCCTTCTTCCAAATACGGCATTGAATAGAAAAACAATCCTTTTATTGGAGATAATTTAAAAACAGCAAAGTAAAAAAGCACTTTAAAGAAATAGGTAAACCCAATTAGGTAGGAAGATAAGCAGGAACAAAATAGTCCAGGGAAAAGGTTCGGCAAAAAGTTCAGGAAAAGAGACTAAGGAAGGTTTTGGGGAATAAGACTCTTTCCTTCTTCCAAATACGGCATTGAATAAGAAAACAATCCTTTTATTGGAGATAATTTTTAAAAACAGCAAAGTAAAAAAGCACTTTAAAGAAATAGGTAAACCCAATTAGATAAGAAGATAAGCAGGAACAAAATAGTCCAGGGAAAAAGTTCAGCAAAAAGTTCAGGAAAAGAGACTAAGGAAGGTTTGGGGAATAAGACTCTTTCCTTCTCCCAAATACGGCATTAAATAAGAAAACAATCCTTTTATTGGAGATAATTTAAAAAACAGCAAAGTAAAAAAGCACTTTAAAGAAATAGGTAAACCCAATTAGATAAGAAGATAAGCAGGAACAAAATAGTCCAGGGAAAAAGTTCAGCAAAAAGTTCAGGAAAAGAGACTAAGGAAGGTTTGGGGAATAAGACTCTTTCCTTCTCCCAAATACGGCATTGAATAAGAAAACAATCCTTTTATTGGAGATAATTTTTAAAAACAGCAAAGTAAAAAAGCACTTTAAAGAAATAGGTAAACCCAATTAGATAAGAAGATAAGCAGGAACAAAATAGTCCAGGGAAAAAGTTCAGCAAAAAGTTCAGGAAAAGAGACTAAGGAAGGTTTGGGGAATAAGACTCTTTCCTTCTCCCAAATACGGCATTAAATAAGAAAACAATCCTTTTATTGGAGATAATTTAAAAAACAGCAAAGTAAAAAAGCACTTTAAAGAAATAGGTAAACCCAATTAGATAAGAAGATAAGCAGGAACAAAATAGTCCAGGGAAAAAGTTCAGCAAAAAGTTCAGGAAAAGAGACTAAGGAAGGTTTGGGGAATAAGACTCTTTCCTTCTCCCAAATACGGCATTGAATAAGAAAACAATCCTTTTATTGGAGATAATTTAAAAACAGCAAAGTAAAAAAGCACTTTAAAGAAATAGGTAAACCCAATTAGGTAAGAAGATAAGCAGGAACAAAATAGTCCAGGGAAAAGGTTCAGGAAAAGAGACTAAGGAAGGTTTGGGGAATAAGACTCTTTCCTTCTCCCAAATCCAGTCCCATCCAGTTTCGGGATATGCCTCCAGACTTTGAAGCCTGTGCCTCCCTTTCCTTTAATCTGCTTGACCTTCGCAGACTCTGCGATTCACTCCTGTTTTGCCAAATCTGTCCTTTTCTATCCTCATTAAAAAAGGCAGGTGCTAGCTCCTCTGGAGAGCTATCACCGCTTGATTCAGAAACATTCCCATCAGGATGCGTAGTTTCACATTCCAAGCCACTGCCCTCAGAATCAACAGTTTCCAAACCATCAGGGAAAAATACATGTTCAGTAGCCATCAGGAAATACAATCAGAGAAACAGGTTCAGGTTCACACGTAGGCCGAACCCCAACAAACGTCCCCAAATCTACTCCGGGAAAATCGGGACCTCTCCCCCTCTTCCGAGGCCGAAACCTCAGTGGCAAAGCAAGTGTCCGCCTTGTCGTGCGTCTGTCCCCGGACGGTGGGCTGCATTGTTTTGAATTTTTGGGTGTTTGGTTGCAAATGTGACCTTGAAGGATATAAAACTCTTGTTCTCTTCTCTCTCCCTTCCCCCGGCCCCCCATCTCAGACTGTGTCAGGATAGGCTGTAACCCCAGTAAGTTGCTCTTTTTCTTTCTTTCTTTCTTTCTTTCTTTCTTTCTCGCTCTCTCGTTTCTTTTACCCTTTCTTTGCTTTCTTGGTGGATTGGTTGGTTGGTTGGTTACTTCTCTTCTTTGCCGTGTTCTCTTTCATCCTGTGGTTTCTGGGGACGAGTTTCGTTTGCTCCACGCCAATGGGATGTATGTGTATGTGTGTGTATGTGGGAGCGATTGAGAGAGTGCGGAAGCAACGTCAAACGGGAAGGATGGAATTAGACGAGAACGGCTGCTCAACTGTTCCCACAACATCAAACCAAATCAAATCAAATCAACTGTTCCCACAACATCATCATCACACCAGAAGCGACTTGCAGTTTCTCAAGTCGCTCCTGACACGACAAAAAAAAAAATCACAATGGCACCAATGTCAGAAGGCCACATCGAGGCTCAGAGCAGAGGTGGGAAGCCATTGGTCCTCTAGATGCTTGGATACAAAACTTCTACCAGTCCTCAAAGGTTGGGGAATGTGGGAGTTGTAGTCCAAAGCAGCTGGAGAGCCAAATATTCTCCCTTCTTGACCTAGGCAGAGGTTGAAATCACATGCTGCTGAGCGCAGTCCAAGAAGTGCTGAAGAAGCTCAGGCCAACATATACGAGGGTTGAATGAAAAGAAATGCCTCCACTTTCGTAACTCCTCCTGGTATGCGGCAGGTACTGGCTTGTTCAGTAGACTCTTCTCTACAGTTCGATTTTGGTGGGAAGCCTTAGCATTGAACAGTTGTGTTGTTAAAGTGCAAATTATGGAGCCCTGCGCAGAGGGTCGGTCAATGTGACTTAAGCAACATCTGCAATAGGTACTGGCTTGTTCAGTAGACTCTCCTCTACAGTTCCATTTTGGCGGGAAGCCTTAGCATTGCACGGTTGTGTTGTTAAAGTGCAAAGTATGGAACCTGGTGCAGACTGTCAGTCAATGCGACTTAAGCAACGTATGCGTCAGATACTGGCTTGTTCAGTAGACTCTCCTCTACAGTTTCATTTTGGCGGGAAGCCTTAGCATTCAACGGTTGTGTTGTTAAAGTGCGAAGTATGGAACCCTGCACAGATGGTCAGTCAATGCGACTTAAGCAACGTTTGCAGCAGGTACTGGCTTGTTCAGTAGACTCTCCTCTACAGTTCCATTTTGGTGGGAAGCCATAGCATTGAACGGTTGTGTTGTTAAAATGCGAAGTATGGAGCCTGCGCAGACGGTAGGTCAATGCAACTGAAGCAACGTATGCGGCAGGTACTGGCTTGTTCAGTAGACTCTCCTCTACAGTTCCATTTTGGTGGGAAGCCTTAGCATTGAACGGTTGTGTTGTTAAAGTGCAAAGTATGGAACCCTGCACAGATGGTCAGTCAATGCGACTTAAGCAACGTATGCGGCTGGTACTGGCTTGTTCAGTAGACCCTCCTCTACAGCTACATTTTGGCAGGAAGCCTTAGCATTGAACGGTTGTGCTGTTAAAGTGCGAAGTATGGAACACTGTGCAAACAGTCGGTCAATGTGACTTAAGCAACGTATGCAGCAGGTACTGGCTTGCTCAGTAGACTCTCCTCTACAGTTCCATTTTGGTGGGAAGCCTTAGCATTGAATGGTTGTGTTGTTAAAGTGGGAAGTATGGAACCCTGTTCAGACGGTCGGTCAATGCAACTTAAGCAACGTGCAGTCATTGTACTCTTGACAGTGGAAGGTGTCAAAGCTTGCTGCTTGGGTGGTGATGGCATGATCATCAGCATAGATGAAACTCTCCGTCCCTTCTGGCAGTGGCTGGTCATTTGTGTAAATATTGGAATAAGATGAGAAGGGCTGCTCAACTGTTCCCACAACATCATCACAACGTTTACACAGGGTAGACGTTGTGTAGACGTTGTGGGAACGGTTGGCCAATGCAATTTAAGCAACATGCAGTCATTGAATTCTTGACAGCAGAAGGTGTCACCCCAAAGGAGATTCGTCAGATTGATTTATTAAAATATTCCCATCCAAACCCAAGTAACAAAGGTGGAGGCATTACTTTTCATTCAACCCCCGTACTATGTATGGAAAGGTTAGGAGCTGCGGGCCAAAAGACCATTCAACGGATTGCATCTGGAAGTGCCTCCAGGAAGAATTTGAGGAATCGAAGACGTTTGCATGTTTGCACTCGAGGGATTTTTCAGCATTATTCTCAACACACAATCACACTACCACACGCTCTTTTAAGAAGTAGGGCCTTTCCACATGGCCATACAACCCATAATATCAAGACGGGGTTGCTGTGAGTTTTCTGGGCTGTCTGGCCATGTTCCAGAAGCATTCTCTCCTGACATTTCACCCACATCTATGGCAGGCCTCCTCAGGAACTTGGAAACGAGGCAAGTGGGGTTTATATATCTGTGGAATTTCCAGGGTGGGCATTCATCAGGACCAGCTAACACTTCCCAACAAAGGATTCCCTCCCTTGTGGCCACATTCCAGAAGCATTCCTTTCCTTTCCTGGAATGATGTCCAGGGTGGGAGAAAGAACTCTTGTCTGCTTGAGGGAAGTGTGAATGTTGCCATTGGCCAGCTTGATTAGCACTGAATGGCCTTGCAGCTTCAAAGCCTGGCTGCTTCCTGCCTGGGGGAATCCTTTGTTGGGTGGTGGCCCTGATTATTTCCTGTCAGTAATTTCTCTGTTATCTATCTATCTATCTATCTATCTATCTATCTATCTATCTGTGGAATGATGTCCAGGGTGGGAGAAAGAACTCTTGTCTGCTGGAGGCAAGTGTGAATGTTGCCATTGGCCAGCTTGATTAGCACTGAATGGCCTTGCAGCTTCAAAGCCTGGCTGCTTCCTGCCTGGGGGAATCCTTTGTTGGGAGATGTTAGCTCCCAACAAACATATTATTTGAGAGCACAGAAATGCTGGACTCAGGCAGGAAGCAGGTATATATATATAGAGAGAGGCGGGGATTCCTCCGGGCAGGAAGCAGCCAGCTTTTGAAGCTGCAAGGCCATTCAGTGCTAATCAAGGTGGACAGTTGCAACAATTCCCACTTGCCTCAAGCAGGCAAGAGTTCTTTCTCCCACCCTGGACATCATTACATAGATATATATGGAGGGGGGGGGGATTCCCCCAGGCAGGAAGCAGCCAGGCTTTGAAGCTGCAAGGCCATTCTATGTTAATCAAGAAGGTCAATAACAACATTCACACTTGCCTCCAACAGACAAGTTCTTTCTCCCACTCTGGACATCATTACACAGGTATATATATATAGAGAGAGGAGGGGCAGATTCCCCCAGGCAGGAAGCAGTCAAGCTTTGAAACTGCAAGGCTATTCAATGCCAATCAAGGTGGCCAGTTGCAACATTCAAACTTGCCTCCAACAGACAAGAGTTCTTTCTCCCACCCTGGACATCATTACACAGGTATATATATATATAGAGAGAGGAGGGGATTCCCCCAGGCAGGAAGCAGCCAGGCTTTGAAGCTGCAAAGTCATTTGGTGCTCATCAAGGTGGTCAGCTGTAACATTCCCACTTGCCTCAAGCAGACAAGAGTTCTTGTCTACTTGAGGCAAGTGCAAATGTTGCAATTCCCAACAAAGGATTCTCCCAGGCAGGAAGCAGCCAGGCTTTGAAGCTGCAAGGTTCCTCCAACAGACAAGAGTTCTTTCTCCCATCCTGGACATCATTATACAGGTATATATATAGGGGGGGGGGAATTCCCCCAGGCAGGAAGCAGCCAGGCTTTGAAGCTGCAAGGCTAGTCAGTGTTAATCAAGGTGGCCAATTGCAACATTCACACCCACCCTGGACATCATTCCACAGATAGATAGATAGATAGATAGATAGATAGATAGATAGATAGATGTGGGGGATTCCCCCAGGCAGGAAGCAGCCAGACTTTGAAGCTGCAAGGCTAGTCAATGCTAATCAAGGTGGGCAATTGCAACATTCACACTCGCCTCCAACAGACAAGAATCCTTTCTCCCACCCTGGACATCATTCCACACACATATATATAGGATTCCCCCAGGCAGCCACCAGCCAGGCTTTGAAGCTGCAAGGCCATTCAATTTTAATCAAGCTGGTCAATTACAACATTCACACTTGCCTCCAACAGACAAGAGTTCTTTCTCCCACCCTGGATATCATTACACAGATATATATAGAGAGAGGGGGGATTCCCCCAGGCAGGAAATAGCCAGGCTTTGAAGCTGCAAGGCTATTCAGTGCTAATCAAGGTGGCCAGCTACAGCAGTCACACTTCCACAGATATATAAACCTTCCACAGATATATAAACCCCACTTGCCTCGTTTCCAACAGACCTCACAACTTCTGAGGATGCCTGCCGTATATGGGGGTGAAATGTCCGGAGAGAATGCTTCTGGAACATGGCCAGACAGTACGAAAAACTCGCAACAACGCAATGGTTCTGGCCATGAAAACCTTCGACAACACAATATCAAGAAAGACAATCCATAATATCTGCTTTGAACTGGGTTATATTGAGTCCACACTGCCATATAATCCAGTTCAATGTGGATTTTATACGGGCCATATAGCGTCAACAATCCTATAGATTTCAGGAGAGCTGCTGGACGCCAGGATTCTCTGCTGCATCCTGGAGGTAAGTCCCGTAAATGCTTTCTGTGCCTCAGTTTCCTCTTTGCGTGTGTTTGCAGAAAGATATGTGGTCGCTTGTTCCACACTATCGAATTTTTAGAAAACAACTCAAACTCTTATGCACACATTAATTGTCTGAAATCAATCTATGACAAACGAAAAGGGAGAGATTCACCCACTCCTGAAAACCAAGTGATATTGAATCAGTCACATTCCAGGTGAGTTTCATATGCAGATGATACCTCACAATATGCATGATTTTGCACAAATGTTACCAGATATGTTATCCGTTGGTTTCCTTGGATAGATTCGAAATGAATTGGGATTTTTCTTTGTGCATACAAACATGTACTTACTTACTTACTTACTTACTTACTTACTTAC